CCCCCCCTCTCTTCCCCTCTTTCCTTCCACCCTCCAAATTTACAATCCCTCATTTCCATTCCGCTCCACCCTCTCGCCGGGGACTTTGTTCCCGGCCCTGTATCATCCCATCCCAATTGTTGGGTGTTTATTTCAAACATTTTGGCGGGCTGTCACTGGATGGAAACTTAATTAATTGTGTGTGTGTGTGTGTGTGTGTGTGTGTGTTTGTGGGGCTGACACAATAGCGGCTGAAGGGAAGGAGGAGGAAGAGGGGGGGGAAATAAAATTCCAAGGGGCAGGTTGGGAGGATGGGGGGGTGGTGGTGGTGGAAATGGGGGTTCGGGTGTGCGTGACCCCCGTGCCCGGCCCACCACCACACGTCTCCATTTCTCCTGGTGAAGAAAGTGTCCCCGTGGGGAGGGGGGTGCTGGTGGGAGACAGGGGGGTGTTAGAGTTTATATGGGGTGTGTGTAACTCTTGGGGTACCCAGTTTTGGGGGGGGAGGTGTGAACCAGGGGGACTGTAGACTGGGGTGTGCATAGGATGGGGTGTACATAGCTTGGGGTGTATGTAGGTTGGGGTGTACATAGACTGGGGTGTGCGTAAGTTCTTTGGTGTCTAGCTTGCTGGTTATCTGGTTTTGGGGTGTACATAGTTGGGGTGTATGTAGGTTGGGGTGTGCACAGCTTGGGGTGTGCATAGGTTGGGGTGTATATAGACTGGGGTGTATATAGACTGGGGTGTGCACAGCTTGGGGTGTATGTAGGTTGGGGTGTATATAGGTTGGGGTGTATGTAGGTTGGGGTGTGCACAGCTTGGGGTGTGCATAGGTTGGGATGTATATAGACTGAGGTGTCCATAGGTTGGGGTGTACGTAGACTGGGGTGTATATAGACCGGGATGTGCATAGGTTGGGGTGTGCTATAGGTTGGGGTGTATATAGACTGGGGTGTATGTAACCTAGGGTGTGCATAGGTTGGGGTGTATATACATTGGGGTGTGCATAGGTTGGGGTTTATATAGACTGGGGTGTCCACAGCCTGGGGTGTATACAGCTTGGGGTGTGCACAGCTTGGGGTGTGCATAGGTTGGGGTGTATATATCCTGGGGTGTATACATCCTGGGGTGTGCATAGACTAGGGTGCATATATATTGGGGTGTATATGGGTTGGGGTGTGCACAGCTTGGGGTGTGCATAGGTTGGGGTGTATATAGCCTGGGCTGTGTATATGTTGGGGTGTGCATAGGTTGGGGTGTATGTACATATGTTGGGGTGCATATAGGTTGGGGTGTGCATAGCCTGGGCTGCCTGTAGCCCCGGGTGTGCGTCCCCTGGGGTGTACGTAGCCCGG